CCCGCTGACCAGATGCTCTCGGGGTATGCGAGAACACATGGTCAGACGAGGAGAGAGCAGTAGGAGTAGCAGTGTTTTCAGTGGTAATCCATGTTTCCGTCAGCGCCAAGAAGTCGAGGGACTGGAGGGTAGCATAGGCTGAGATGAACTCTGCCTTGTTGGCAGCAGAACGGCAGTTCCAGAGGCTTCCTGAGACCTGGAACTCCACGTGGGTGGTGCATGCAGGGACCACCAGGTTAGAGAGGCAGCAGCCAGGCGGTGTGAGGCGTTTGTATAGTCTGTGCGGAGAGGAGAGAACAGGGATAGACAGAGGCATAGTTGACAGGCTACAGAAAATGGCTACAATAATGCAAAGGAGATCGGAATGAAATGAACTAAACATATGGGAAAGGAGAGAGCGGGGCCTCCCTCACTTACGTTTCACTGAAACACCCAAATATAACTCTCCCAACTTCCACCTCAGAAACTATAATTGTTGTAAACTACAGCGGTTCAATGTTTTCTAGGAATAGACTAACTTAGTTTATTCAGCTAGCTAACTTGGTACAGTATTCTTCTGTGAAAATCGTCCAGGGCACCTAGTCATATGACGCCACAGCCAACTAGTATGCCGGACTCCAACAACACGGTTTAGCACCAATACTCGGCCACAACAAACCACCAGTGTGTCAACACGCCAAGCAGATCATTCGTGTCCGTGTCTAACGTTGTGGGTTAGTCCCGACAGCTTGAGCGAGTCCGTCGTCAACTTATTCAGCCAGTTAGTTAGCTAGAATAGTTAGCATACTAGCTAGCCATTGCTTTCAGACAAAGAAGAAACCCCTCCTCCCATGGCACGAACACACAGAGAGAGCCAAGCTAACGTTAACTAGTCACCCATGTCCCGAATTCCCTTGAACGACTCTGGCTACCAGTATGTAAAAACAAAACACAAATGTAGGTTATAACTTACCCCTAGCAGCTACTGTTAGCTAGCCAAGTGCAAAGCTAGCCACTGAATTGACTCAGCCAGTTCGCGTCTGTTCGCTAGGTCGTTCCAGCCATTGTTTAGTAGCTATCCAGGTAGCAACAAGCTAGCTAAATTTCAAGCAAGGTAGCCACTTACTACCTAACGTTAATGCTTCAGACAATGAGGTTAGAAAAACAGCTGAATGGTAGGCATTATTGTATGTAATTATTGTAGGCAGCTAGCTGGCGTAATTACAGGCACTCTCAGGCGTGAAACAACTATCCACAGTTGCAAATAGTTACCAGTAGCTACCCGCTAGCTAGTCCAGGTATTGGGTTAGCTAGCTTCGTGCTTCACCGGTCTTAGCCGAATACAATACTAACCTACAATAATTACATACAACAACCCATGATAACTACCTACAATACCTAACTACAATCTAAATACATAGTTTAAGCTTTACTCGACAAAGCCCAAACTATGTATATAAGCCATATAAGCCAAGCTTACCTCCCGCCAGAGAGAGACACAACCTCACCCGACGACGACGAATAGTCATGTCACCAACATCTTGTTGCATCCATCTGACCATGCAGACAGACTAAATGAATGGCAAGAAAGTGCTTGTGACTCCGTGATCAAGCAACAGCTCTCTCCTTGAGTGACAGGGGGAAGGGCTTGGTGTGGTTAGCATCATGCAGCTTGAGGAGAGGGAGAAAGATGACTCAAGTAGACCACTAAGTTTTATGAGAGTCTTTACTCCTTAAAAGGGATTGGAACCGGTTAAGGGAACAGAACAGAAAACTGTATAAAAATGTTTTAGAAACAGAACCAAAACTGAGAACGAAAGTGGGAACCCTTTAAGCATGGGAACATTAGGGGGATTGTGTGTAGATTAATGAGAGAAAACACAAAAAAAATAATCAATTTTAGAATAAGGCTGTAACGTAATAAAATGTGGAAAAAGTGAAGGGGTCTGAGTACTTTCCGAATGCACTATATTTTACTCTGTTTGAGAGGATTGCCACATCCCTAAAATGGCCGTGAGATTTGGTCAATGCTCCTCCAACGTGTTCTTGTGGGAAAAGCTCAGAAAGTGTACACCGCTTTATCTCCTGACCAGAATTCAGGTGTTGTTTTAACCCCCAGCCTGGCTTAGTTTGCCAGATGCCAAGATGATTAGGAACAATGAGGATTTTCTTTCTACTCCTCCAAGCTATTCCTATCTCAGTTCCACACACCACATCTTGTCTATGGAATGCAGGCTCAGTCAATTGTCAGCTCAAGCTATCTCTAGTGACCATACGCCCAGATTAGCTGCAGGGAGCCAGAGTGGAGACCATCCCTTTACAAAAACACAGCATTAGTAGAACAGAAATGTCTTAGCAATTATATACTTAACAAATAGTAATATCAAGCAAATCAGGTAAATACTTCATTTTTCTCTCACATTCCCCTCTCAAGAAACTCAGTTTCTTCTAGAAAATGTAAGGGTACAAGCGTTACATAATTATTGTTAAACATACAATTAAACAAACAAAATACATATTTCTGGTGCCTGACATTTCATTCATGGAAAACAACCTTCCTTTGGGTTGCTGAGTTTTTAGGCCTTTCTTATCAAAAACACAGTCAACCTGGAACAGGAAATGAAACATAAAATAAATAAAATCACACACAATCTTCATTACAGCAAATAGGACAGTCACCACTGTCGTGACATGACTCTCATTATTGTGATGACTATTATTTATTGAATAATTACCTGCTATGTTTAATTGTTACTAGATTAAATGAATAATGTAACAATGAACTCATTAGGAATTTGGGACACCACGGGAAAAATTGTTTAACGAGTTACTGTTTCCCGAAATAACTCTAAAGATATCTAGATATCTCTTATCGTTTAACAGTCATTTATTAATCATTTATCTCATATCGGTCTCATTCTGAAAGTCGTAGACTCTTTAAGTCTGCACAAACCCAGGTTTTACTGATCATACTGTGTACCACACACATTTATTAAATTATTTATTTACTAACTAATTAAAAATGATAACACAAGATACAAACACGTACACGGTATAGGTAGGGATTCTAAACTTAACACAATGAAAATGGGTCCCTAGCGGACTAACACAATGATGGTGAGTTAACGAGAGAGAGAGAGAGAAAACACTTGGATACACATGGACCTACACTCACAGTAATCCTAATACTTTGCCCCAAACTTCCCATTTGGGAAGAAAAGTAATACATGTATTTACGTGTTGGAGGTCTTCGTCGTGTATCTCTGTTGGACCCAGGCCTTTGTGGGAAGGGGTCGATTGGGCCTTGTCTTTCGGATGGCCTTTTAGATGTAAGGCTCAGATTGTCCACAAGAGGTCACAATGTCCTTCTTCTTAGTTGTCTGTTTACTTTCACTAGTTCTGGAAGTGGTCTTCTGAGGATGGCTAATCAGCCGTGTCGATGATACCCTGTGGGGTGTTGAGAGCAGTGTAGTAGACGATGGTTTGAAGAGAGTAACAGGATGGTCCCACTTAAATTCACCTTCTTAGATACAGTACTTGGAACAGCTACTCAGCTGTAACATTGATTCTTAGTGGAGACAACTTTGTCATCTTCACCTCGTGTTGATTTTCAGGGTCGCGACCAATATGGACAAAAGCTGCAGCTTGAGGTCCGTCTAGTCTGATCTGATAATTCTTATCTCTTTCTTTTATGCACTCTGGTAAAGAGGGGCGTTTCCGTCGTACTGACATGCTCTCTGAGCTCCCTCGGGCGTGGCTAGTTACGAGGCAAAAGTATTATCATCACTATGATTTTGTTAGAAAGCTAAAATCATATTCCTTTCTTCACGAAAACATTGTCTTCCTCCTTAATATTTTCTACACAACATGAAGGATGTAAACCTGATATACACAGTGTAAAAGCTCTTCAAGTCACAATGTTTTTGTTATAACGCCTTTATACCATTTTTAATGACATCACAAAATAGACATACATTTTCCATATTCCATTTCTCATCATTCCCAACGTTTGGATGTTGAAATATATTGTCCCAATGTTCATTGTTGGATGTTTTTGGGCGGCAAAAAGTATCTGAAACTATGGCATTTCTTTTCACCATACTAGAATGCCAGAGATAGATTCTCCTCCTCTAATTTATATGGCAGTATTAAAGTGTCAAGACTGGCACAGCCCCCCCCCCCCCCTTAGGTAAGAGGGTCCGGTTGTTGTCGGCCATTTGGCAAGCAGATGTGTGGCCTTTGATCTCCCAGAGAGAGTCATGACAGTCCCACTCTGGTGGTTCAACCTTGGAAGGATTCTGCAAATTTGCAACCCACCATAAAAAATGACCACCTGGTTGTGGATCATCGTTGCGGGTCCATCATCCGGTTGTCCAGGCTGGTAGATCTAGGCAGTAACTTACACAGACGTTAACAACACACAACACTCAGGCAATAAATCATTACATTTCTTCCCCAAATGGGCGGCATTGTGGCACTAACTGGTGGTTGTATGGGGAACTTGTTTGTGGCAATATCACTTCCTTAGTGTCAAAGGAAATAAAAATGTAAAGAATAAAAACACAACAAAAGATATACAAAATATAGTTCCCCCACCTTAATCATCTACTTGGACTCTATTCTACGTACGTCCATGGTCTTGGCTAAATGACTCTATCATGACATTTGTCTAATGTCATATCTAGTGCTATCCTACTTGAAGGTGGGTAGTTAAGGCACTCTCTTAAATGGCACCCTGAATGACAAAGCTTCCATTGGTGGCACTACAAGGATGACATAGCGAACTCTGGGTTAGAAGCTGGGGATGCTGTGAATGGGTCACCTGATGGGGTTTTGGAATCTATTGCCAGTTTTCCGAAAATCGGGATTGCTTCCGTCCCGCAGATGATCCTAGCATAAGACCTCATTAGGTCTTCCATTGCGCGTGTGTGCCTGTGTACATAGTAGGTGCACACGCCAAGGGCAATAAGGATCATGGTAACAGTCAGGATACTGTCCGGCACCATCCAAGAGCGGGTGACGGAACAATCTTTTGGCTTATAGCCAATCGGGTCAACTAAAAGTGCCTCATTCAGTACGCTAAAATCAACAGTCATCGGTCCCTCGTACTGAATTTGGTTTTGAATAGCTGGTGGTAACTCAAGGGAATGTTTAGCAAAAGCGTCAGGCATTTCAATATCTGTGTCTATCCTGTCGTCAGGAAGTTGGTATAGGGCTAGGTCGTCTATATGGATAATCACCCCCTCTGATTATCCATAAGTCATGGCATTCGTAAGTCATAGTGGCAGACGTGAATGGGGTGTTAATCAGCCATTGATTCCCTACCACTTCCACTTGCGTCGTGGTGACTCCACCTCTTGCTACAAGTTTGGCTCTACAGCGTTCTTCGCTGGTGATAGGCTTAAGGCCACAAAGGCGCTCAGTGTTATCCCTGACGAAGGGTTTGCTAGAACACAAGTAGTGGACTTCTTTGGTTAGAGTACATATTAACAGGTTAGGGGTGAGATAGAAATCTGGAATGTGTTCCTGATAAGCTATGACTGGAGGTGTGATGATTTTCACATGGATGTTGTCGCGCCAAAATCCGACCTTTAGAACTGTTTTCAATCTATAGATATTCTCCAGTTCAATAACTGGCAGCGTCAGTAAAAATCCCACTTCATTTTGATTAACATCAACGTGTATTGGAATTGCAGACCCCAGACTATAGACCAGGTGTGACTGTAATGGCTTTATCATGGTTGTGGTAGCTGAGGTCAATATGTTGTGCACCATTGAGAGGGGCACTAGATATGAGGGGATTCTATTCACGGCCAACTGGTCCATAGAAGAGCTAACTTCATGGAGAAAACCCTCCAACAACAATCGAACATATTGGACATGGGCATAGTCATGGTTCATGACCTCTACTAGCTTGCCTACCAACAGGAGGGTTTTGTTCGGAGAGTAGCGTGTGTGTTTACCACCAGAATAGTGTCCTGGAGAGACCTTCCTACATGCTGCAACCTGAGTGCCTGTGATAAGTAGCATCTCTTCAGTAATCTCCCTAACATTTATTTTGACCGTGGCTAGACTGATTGCGTTGACAGCAGTGGTACCTAGAGCAAATAGTGACCCTACGGCTGCACCTATTGAGAGTAGCGCCCCAAGGAATTTTTTTCTCGCCTGGGCTCTGCTAGTTCTGACTGGGTGACTGTGAACTTTTGGAGTTGGGCCAACATCACCGCCTGGAACGGCAATTGCACCGCCCGCAACCGCAGGGCTCTCCAGAGGGTGGTGCTGTCTGCCGAATGCATTACCGGGGGCAAACTACCCGCCCTCCAGGACACCTACAGCACCCGATGTCACAGGAAGGCCAAAAAGATAATCTAGGACATCAACCACCCGAGCCACTGCCTGTGGCATCCAGAAGACGAGGTCAGTACAGGTGCATCAAAGCTGGGACCGAGAGAATGAAAAACAGCTTCTATCTCAAGGCCATCAGACTGTTAAATAGCCATCACTAGCACATTAGAGGCTGCTGCTTCCTATTTGAAATCACTGGCCACTTTAAGAAATGGAACACTAGTCACTTTAATAATGTTTACACATCTTGCACTACTCATCTCATATGTCTATACTGTATTCTATTCTATAATATTCTACTGTATCTTAGTCCATGCCGCTCTGTCATTGCTTGTCCATATATGTGGGCAGTGTCTAGCTGAGCGTGCTTAACTGCCTGGGTGGTCCAGTCAGCCCCGGCCCAACTCATATGTGCCGCAGGGGAACTGTGTTGGCGGTACAAGTTCTCTGCATCTAGGCGGACGTACACCCTCTGCATGTGTACTCTGCAGTTGGTTATAAGGAGTACTGTACTGGATTATCACAGAGAACGATTCCTGTAGGGGGTCCACTCGTGAGTACATCTGCCGGATTGGTTTTGAGCAGGGCGCACAGTGTCGGGATCATCCAAAAGAACTCCATCCTACAAAAACGCATAATTAGAGATAGTGTTGGATTATTTGAGTTGTGTGTTTTTTTGTTGTCGTTTTTTTATTTTTAAGAAAAACATTTTGACAGCAAATTTAGTTGATTTTCCTATTTTTAACAGCACAACGCATGACAATATCAACAATGACAAAGAAATGTGTGTCTTGTAGCTGGGAAGATAAAAAAAGATGTTAGGTGCAATGTACTGACTTCCCGGAAGGGATCAGCTGAGGATACTTAAGAATTTTGTTAGGTTTCTATCTATTCGGGGCTGGCTTGCACCCCTTCTATTCCCATGGGGGAGTGTACAACTTGATTTGGTTCCTGTGGACCCACTTGAACGAGATGTTCTGTCAACCTTTGCTGATTCTGATTTGATAAGCAACAGGTGACAGCTTTAAAACAATCTCATGTGGCCCTGTCCAGTGGGGCAGGAACTTTTTCGCAACGCCCACGGGTTTGGTGTATATGTAGTACCACACCGTATCCCGACCTCAAACTCCTGGTGTGAGGCCTTTTTGTGGTAATGGGTCTTGTCACCTTCCGCACTTCTTTCCAACTTTCATTGAGCGTACGCAAAGATAGTCTGGAGGTGGGTTCGCAAGTCTGTCACGTATTGATGGGCCGTGTACGCGCTGGCCGCGGTGACATCTCCAGGTTGGTACAGGAGATGCAGTGGAAGCGTCATTTCCCGGCCCATCATCATCTCAAATGGTGTTATTCCCGTAGACCTGTTGCATGTGGCTCTGATCACCATCAATACTAGTGGGAGTTTGAGGTCCCAATCTTTGTGGTTGGCTGCCACATATTTCCTCAAGGTTGTGACGATTGTTTGGTTGCTCCTTTCTACCCTGCCGGGGCTCCTAGGGTGGTTCGCGATGTGGAGTTTAGCTTTGACTCCCAGGAGCCGCCACAGTTCGGTCATCACAGCAGCCGAAAAATGGGTTCCTCTGTCGCTGTCCACGGTTTCTCCTGGCAGGCCGAAATGACTGAAAACGTGGTTGAGCAAAAGAACGGCTGTGGTTTCCGCTGTGTCATTGGGTGCGGGCAGGCACTCCACCCACTTTGTGAATGCGCAAGTCACTGTGAGGAGATACTTGTTGCCTCTTGCCGACCTGGCAACTGGGACGACCCAGTCGATCTGGATCGAGCTCCAAGGGTAAGACACCCTTGCACTGCAAGGCTGCTCTGTGAAGTGGCTTGGAGGGTTAAAACTGGCAGCAAACTAGACACCCCCTCACGTATTTTGCCACGACTTGTTCCATGTGAGGCCAGTGGGCCACCTGTCGCAATGTTTCACATGTAGCCTTGACCCCCGCTATGGCCCCCACATGGCTCGTCGTGGGCATGAGCTATCATTATCCCCCTCTGTGTTTTAGGAACCACCCACCTTTGTGTGGCGTCGGTTTCTGAAACATAAACCAGTAGGTCATCTACAAGTGTGAGGTGCTGTTTAGTTGCGTACAGCAAACACAAGTCGTGTGAGCCTGCCAAAGCCAGCTCGGACACTGGGTGATTGAAAGGATCAGACAAGAAAGCCATGAAAGTGGCGAGGGACTCATCTTGGTGTTGCATTGCTACCAGGTCACCATTCAAGAATGAATGAGTTAGCAACACATTATGTTCGTGCGAAGATGATTACCGCGGTGCTACATGGCTACGCGTTACTGCAGACACCATGGGCGCCTCGGTGATCATTGCGTCCAGAGCATCGAATACCCAAGGGGTGCCGTGAATTGCACCAGATTTCGCCATGCTGTCAGCATGGTCGTTGCCAAGTTTGTCACAACCAGGTGATTTGGAATGTCCCTTGACTTTTTTCCAATACACCTGTGTTGGTCGCGAGGGTCGACTGTCATGGTCCAGAAACCATTCGCCACGTCAACGTGGAGAAGTATTTGGCCTTTGTCACCTTTGGCAACTCTTGGTTGAGCTGTGTCATAGGCCAACAAGACAATGGAACCAGCTTGTTGAGTTGTCTATAGTCAATGGTAAGACACCACTTACCCATTGGTTTCAAAACAGGCCACACGGGAGCGCTTTACGTACTGTTACATTCCCTGATTATCTGTTTAGCTAATAGGGAGTCGATAATCTCTTGTACCGCCGAGTACGCTGCAAGCAGAATTGTTTATTTTCTCACAAATGTAGGAACTGCTCCGGGTGGCGTAGGAATACGCACCACATGAATACCTGTAACCCCGCAATCCAGCGAGTCTGTCGACCAGATCTCTCTGTGTTTGTTAAATAATTCCCGCAACTGATGTCTTTCAGTGTCATTGACAAGTGTGTCTGCCTCCTTCAGTAGCTGTAGTACCTGTAGTACCTGTGTATGGAAACCAGGATATGTCTCAGCAGCATTGTACAGGTCTTCATCAGGTGGTGACGGCTTGTCAATGGTGGGGGAATCATTAGCTGTTACGTCATCAGTGTGTACTTCACATGCAGAAGAAGATGCGGTATCATCCTCCGTGACGATGGAGTATTTCAACAGGTCGTTGTCAGAATCGACATCCAGCCTGAACGTTGATGTGTCGTCCAGTGGCAATACGGGAGTTATTGCGATTGCCTTTGACGGACAAGTAAAAAGCGTCCCTTCCTCACCACATAGGTCTAGGGAGGAAGGAAGAGGCCCAATTACGGTAACAACAAGTTCAAAATCATGGAACGAGTAATCAATCAATGTTCCTAGCTGAGTATGCCAAGGAATGGAGATATCCGCTTGAGTCAGATTCTGCACCAAGAGGTAAGTGGATCTGGCGTTTAGCTCCAACAGCGGGTTACCATTGATAGTTAGCCCCAATTCGAATAATTGTGGCGAGGGTTGGAAGAACGCAGTGGTGCCTTCCATCCGGTAGCCGGGCACCAGGTTCAGTTTTATAGAAACCTCTGTGGTTCTTGCCGGTATCACCACGGCGGACTCAATTATCACATTGCAAGTTTCAGGAATAGTCTGCCCGAATGCCATTCGCACAGGGTTGAAAGACAAGGCATGTTGAGCTGGCTTCGCCAAAAACCAAAGAACTTGGTGTACGGTATCGAGTTTAACACCCAATCTCACCAAAATGTCAGCTCCCACATAAACTGTATGCAGGAGGTTCGAGACAACCAGTAAGTAGTGAAATACTTCCTTGTTTCCAATGCGGATCGATAGCGCACATACCCCTAAAGCGGTGAGTGTTGTCTGGGGAGTCATTCCCAGTGGGAATCTGAACGTTTTCGGAACCACAGGGTGGCAGTTAGCCGCTTTTGAAATGTTGTTGAACATTTCCAAATTAATTGCAGATTTTTCGGACCAGGTTGCCAGTATGGCATCCTCAACCATTATGCCGTTTAGGCACACGCTGCCTATCAGTGGAGGGCGGTATGTATTGGCTGGTGATTCACCCAAGCTACATGTTCGGTTAGTTTCCGAGTTGAACTAGTCACCCTGTCATCTTCCACAAATGGCGGACTCATTACCAAGTTCACTGGGGGTATGTCAGTTGACGGTGCCGAACCGTCATCGTCGCATAACGTATAGCATGTAGCCTTCGATGAAGGCAGTGGTGTCAGCTGAGTTATTGCGATTTGTGAGCAGATTTGGTTGGATTTCCAATCCATCAGTGGTACCAAACGGTCTATTAAATCCATTCCAATCAGCATCTGCTCGGTGTCAATGCTAGTCACGAACACAGGGTGGACAAGTGACACGTTTTCGAAGTTCAGTTTTAGTAGGATACGCTTGGTAAGAGGCGAGGTAGCCTGAGTGAAACCTTGAAGTTTAGTGTCGCATCGTTCTGTTTTTAACCAACGTTTCGCTGGGTCAACTGCCCTTTTGAGTTCATCCAGCAAAGTTTGAGACATGAGGGAAATAGTTGAACCTGAATCTATCAGTGCATCACAAGTCAAACAGTCCTCTAAGACAGATTTGAGGTATGGCCTGTTCGAGTCGGTTTTTCTTGTCATATCACCAACAAAGTGGAGTGGGTTGGCAGAACGGAGTGGTGAGTTATCTGTGTCGATTTTTAAGACAGATTTCCGAACTTCGTGACCCAGTGGGTCCTCTATCGGAATGGGAGAGGAATCAGCTGTTGCAATGCTGCTTACCTTGTGCGTCGCAACATCTATATCATGGTCTCTAGATAGAGCGGGCCTAGATCGTGCGGGGCCTTGACTGGGATTTGAGTGAGGGCGGGGTTAAGGTGAACATTTCCGACCTCGCAAATGATGTTTATTTTGGGGGACCCATTCTCCAAGAAATTTCACGCCCAGTCATGGTGAATTATCTTTTCCCCCTTTCTCAAAAAAAAATTCCGCTGCAGTACATCTCTTATCAGAGCTTCTAGAGAGCTTTGGTTACGTTTTGGTTGTCATCGAACCCTTTGTTACTCTTGTTACGCTTGTTACCGTTGTTCCCTGACCATTTGTGAGATTTAGATGCAGGAGCGTAGCGTCCAGATCGACCTCTGTGGGGCCTGTTTGGTTGGGGACGTTCTTTGTAGCTATCGTTACTGCGGTGGTCATCATATTTTTCCGCTCCTGTCCCTGATGCCGCACCCTCCAACTGGAGTGATTGCACCCCCCCAATCTTGAAAACCGAGGTGTCCAGGCTCTTAGCCCGGCCCGCTTTGGATGCATAAAAAGCTTTGCTCACAAGCTCTCGGAGTGTCGAGATTGGCAAACCAACGTGGGAAGTAGGGCCCAAGTAGTTAATGAAGTTGGAATACATGTTTGACAGAAACATTTGTTTGAATGGTAATAGCTCTTCCATTCCTGTTTCAGTGAGCATGCCAAAGTAAGCTGAACGAAGCATATGATAGTAGGCTTGTGGGTGTTCATTCCGAGCTTGTTTGACAGTGTTAGCCAGCG